ATTACAGGCTTACAGGGCTCCTATAAAGCTCTCCAAAATATGTATACTTTCTATCTCATACATAAAAATGCACTGGCATTAGGAAAGGAGATACAAGACTCTTTTAAAAAAACCTATGCAAAACATTATAGTCTTACCTTTATGTGGCTTTCTGATTTCTCTCTTTTAAAACATTTATTAAGCAGAAAGACCTCAGTGACATGTAAATTTCATTTTCTATGCCCAGCAGATTAAAATACATCAGCTTCAGACATCATTCAGCAAAGAAATAATTTGAATAGTTCATTTTATTAGAAAAAGATTTATGTCAGTATTTGACTATGACAAGAAAAGAACCAGGGGCACGTGTACAATGCAAAAATACAGATTTTCCATGGAATGTAGCTGTACTGAACAAAATTGTGTCTGAAATAAATAATGTGATTCATCACTGAGCAAGTTGACTATTAAACCACTACAAATGTTGTGGACAGTGGTAGAATTTGCATTCTCAGACATACTGTACCAACTGATTCACACATAATTTTATATTCATCTTTCTGTATTTAGTTGGTATATATTTCATTAACAGTTTTTTGGGCCAGTGAAAAACAAAAATTTAGCTGCTTGCAATAGTAGCAGAAATATTAAAATACAACCATAAACTGTTTTAAAACAGTGCAGCACATTGTATGTCAACAAGAGAGCACAAAATCAATTTAGCAAATATTCTCAAGGAGCACAAAAAGTGTATAGGATTATGGCTGACATCACCTCTTGTTATTAGCTATACTGGCTGGCTTGGGGGAAAAGAAAGATTGCCACTGGGTACCAAAACAACAGTGGAGGTTGGTCACTCCAATGTCAGTGGGGCTGTGGGTTCTGAACTTTAGAGGAGCTACCCTAGATGCTCAATCCTACCTACAAAATAGGTTCAGCACCATGGATAGTTCCTTATGGCTCCTTTGGAAAATACCCCTTCATTTGCAACCACCGACCACAACTTGCTTGATGGAGTTAATTGGAGAAGGGGCCTCAAGATAATCCCAAGATCTGGGTGGTTACATATGGAATTCAGCAAGCAATTTAATATTTAAAAAATAAGGTCAGGGCGGGCAACTGGAGCTCAGAAAATGCACCACATTAGTTGCTTGAAAAGTCAAAAGCAGCACTTTGAATTTGGTCCAGAAATGGACTGAAAGCTGTTACAAATGATGAAGTTCCAGTTGAATATAATATTGTGCACTGGATAACAGAGGACAATATACAGGTAAATGTACAGAGGACAAGGGTAATCACATGGGATAACTGTATGTATGTATCTGGCTGATTTCCTGCCTTCCCCCCTGAACTGGAATCTAAGAGGAAATAGCTTATCTGTGATAAATTCAACAAAATTCAAGCAGTTTTTAATTGCAGTAAATCCTATTGTGCCTGGCATAAGACATGATAAATCCTTAAATATTTTTGCCATCTCATTGTGGCAGAAGGGAACCAGTGTACATGCAAATCATAGTCCAACTTTTAAACAAAACAATTCTCATTCCTTGCTTTAGCACTTATTATGATATTGCTCATGAATTGCAAATGATATCAGTATCAGTTGCAATCTCAAACTGTCTTTGCAATCTTTTAACAGTTTGACACAATACCAGAAACATAAAGGGTAACATATACCTTTTCTGTGATCTCTTTTACAGCATATTCTGGTTAGGGTTGTCATATCTCAGGGCATTGGTTGATCTTCTATATACTTCTCCCCATCTCCAGGCAGGGAGACAAACCTTATGTGTGCTTACATGCATGGGGTGGCTTTGTAAAGTCTAGACACTTCATTCACTTATTCCTAGCTGGCATCAGGAACAGCTCACCCAAAACATGTTGTACCTATGTCAGGAAATAAAAAGCCAAGCAAGGAGACTGGAGAACCAGTAGGCGTATGTACTTGGACCCACTGTAGCATTAGAAGTAATACAAGGAGTGGAGAACCAGCATTGTGACCAATGACTTCTATTGCAGAAGCCCTGTGATCTTAGGGAGTGGGATGCTGTGGACCTGACAACCCTAATTTCTATGCACATCTACTCAGAAGCAAAATCAGCTACTGACTGAGATGAATGTTCAGGCTGTGGACTAGAACTCCCAATAGCCCCAAGGCAGCTGAGCCAGTGATAAGGAGCTATGGGACATAGCTGGGGGGTCTGCACCTCACCCACCCTCATCATCTCCCTGCAGCCCACAGATTGCTCCCCACCCTCCTGCAATAGAGGAAGATAATTCTATTCTGCAGGTGGCTGCTGTCATCTTGCAAGACAGACATGACTGGCTACAATCCATTCTGTTCAGTGAGGCATGCTCAGAGATCAGTAACCTAAAATTTCTATGTTCCTGACTTAAGCCATGAGCTTCACATATTTTGCAACTCAGTATATAACTAAATACTGTACATCCACATAATTCTTTAATTTGGGTGAGACGACACACATAGGGTGAAATTCAATTTTTTAGTCCAGACCAGAGTACAGCCATTGAATGAACAGAACTTGTTAAGTCAACAGCTAAGGAAGTCCTATTGATTCAGTGGGTCTGCTTTAATTGGCATTAACAATTAGATTTAGCTCATGAGTGTTAATTTATATTGTAAACTACACTGTTATAAATATTATGAAGGACAGTATTTATGAGCCTTCTATGTGCCATAACTAATTAAATAGAGCAAATTATTAAAGTAACCTTAATGACTGCATGGAGTATATTCCTTGTCCATTTGTTCTCAAATGAACATTTTAAAAAATTACATTTACATAGTGGGCTATAGACCTATACTCTCTTTTGTCCCTTAATCTCCATGTTTTCCAGCCCTTAGCAATACTGTATTTTAGCATTACAAAGGAAATGATGAAAGGTAGCTGTTTAGGTACAATTAATTAACTGTTGTAAATCTACTGAAGCTAATAAATGATGTCCCCACTGAATTCTAGATATTTTAGATCAAGCTTCTCAGCAACTTCTCAGTTGAGATGGTTATATAATGTGTAATTGACTCTGTAATATACTGACCTTTCCCCAAAATGACATTCCATACAGGTAATTCCTAGTCCTTCAGTGGAATAGACTCTTAAGGCCTGGCTGTATATTTTGTAATCACTCAGTTTTCTTTCCAGCCCTTGAATTCCAAAGCCTTACCCAGCCCAAGTCCTCCTTGACCCTTTTTTCTATTGATACTTTAACCATCCAACAGACCTCTTGTTTTAACAGAAGTTCCCCACATTTCCTGAGATGAGTTCTTAAAATCCATTTTTCTACACTTATACGGATTAAACCTGGACCTTCTCATACTTACAGCAGATCTACTGAAATAAATGGGACTATACTTTAGGCCAGTGGCAGCTGGTGGCCCGTTGTGGTTGGTGGACCAAAAGCCATAGTAGCCAGTGATGGGTGGAACCAGAAGATGACCACTCGGTGCTATCCGCTGCTCTTCTCTTCTCCCCTCTCTCCCACACAAATACTCTGCTGGGAATTCAGCAGAGAGGAACACTGATATATCCCTCATCCCCTTCCTCTTGTGAACAGGCAGACAGAAGTGGACTGGCTAGACACACCCTGAACCAAAAGCCCCTACTGCTCTAAGTGCAATGAAGAATGCAATGCAACCTATCCTTCGGCCCATCATAAACTTACCATATTCCTGCAACTCCTTTATGAAACACTGCCAGCTCTGTTAGTCCTGATATGTCTCCATTAATTAGAAGCAAAATGGAAGTCTAAACTACTGATCCTTCTATTGTAACCTGAGCACCAGTGGGGCACATTCAGGAAAGATCACCTGCTCAGAGAAACTATGCTCAAAGCTGGTGTTCATATCAATGCACTATGAGAATTACATCTCCCGATATGTTCCAGGGTAATCTCTATGTATGTCTGAAACCATTGCCTTGAATTCTGTGTCTGCATAGCAAATTAGGATTGCTCGGGAAGCCCTTCTTATTCTTGGTAGCTGCACCGCTCTTGAAATTCTCCTTGAGGGCTCTCTTTGAAGGATCTAACTCGACTGTCTAGGCCTACATATATTTTCTTATTTGTGCTGATTTTTCATACCTGGGGTTAAATTCATGTGGAAGAACTATTCTGGTAACCACTCTGAGCTTTGTGGGCAGAATTGAATGGGCTGTAATCCGATCATAATAGCCCAAACCACAATTCAGATCTCACTGATGGCCTCTCCTCCATTAAAATGAAAATAAAAAGTGAGGCAGTAATAGCACTGCTTGCTGCACAAAATATCCACAGTCTAAGAATCAAGCAGCTTTTTTTCCCCGCCTGCCCTCCTCATTAAGTACCATTCACTTATTAAGGGCTGTAAAGCCAGACAGCCTGAAAGAAAGGCGAAATCTTGGGGAGATCTGAGGGTAAAATAGCATATTTTTATTAGTAGAAAGATTATTTGACTTTAGAGCTGTAATAATGATAATTTCCATGACCAAAAGTGCCCCCTTATGATTAATCAATTATGCAAACCATCACCATTTCAAAGCTAGTAAAGACTTATTTAATGACATTTTCCATGCATCTCGTGTCTTTAATATATTATCATCCTTTTCCTCCTGACAGAGCCATCAGCTGCAGAGCATCCAGCACCGTTCTGTAGCTGGTGGAATCATTTGCTCGCATTGGGAAACAATTGTTTATGTAGAATAGATTTTTCAAAATTGATTTGCTTTAGAAGACTGGATGACTGTTGCTGGGCAGTCATTCTCTGCACTGTGCCATCATTTTCCAGAGGAAAGGCTGAGCGTAAGGAGGCTGCTGCATGAACAGTTTTCTAGGCATGACATTCCAAAATCGGCTACATTTTCCTTTTTTTTTTTTTTTTTTTTTTTTTTTTTTTTTTTTTTTCCCGGCTCCTTTTTCTTTTTTTTTTTTTTTTTTTTTTTGATCCTTCCGGAAAAGAGCTCAACTCAGCTTGGAACTCTGTATATGTAGACAGAGAAATCATTCACTCCTCTGATTGCTTCACTTCTGGGCATCTTCTGAGCAGAGGATAAAAATAATCCCAAACCAAAGATTTTCATTTCTGGGGCACAAATGAGCACTTTGCAAACTGAACAAAAAGGATGTCCAAGCTCCTTTCACGGTAACAACATGCTGTTGTATTGTCCAAAGCTGCATTAAATGCAAGAAAGGAAAATAAAACATATTTAAAAAAAACAAATTCAAAGCATACTTCCCATTTTTAAAAGAAACGTGTACTGGAAACAATTGTTTGAAACAAGATTAAATTTTATTTATTTGCTAATTCTTCATTACACTGAGGTTAAACAGAAAGGTGACAAAACTAGGTGCTTTCACTGCTTTGTCCATAATCCCCTTATTTTTTGCATGAAGCCCTCTTCATTTCTCCAGCAATGCTAAAGAAAAGGCCCAACTAAAAATCTAAAATTGGCTTCCAGATGCATCTCCTTCAACTCCAAATTGCCCATCATGAATATAGATCTCAGGAAAAATTGGGATCTTTTCGTGAACTGGATCCCTCCAGTCCAGTTTCACCAGAACCTGAATGGAAAGAGGTATGTATATAAAAAGGCAATTAGGGAATTTCGGCATACATCTCTATATATATAAATTTACAGCTGCCAGAATACTCCAGTGAGCAAGACCAGGAATATTGGGAAGTAACCTTTCCAAGCTCTGATAGCCAAAGTGTTGAGCAGAGCTGGAAGGCTACATGTCTCTGGGAGGCTACATGTCTCTCTCCAGGATTATGGGCAGCCATGTTGGGACTGGCCTCGGAGATTGGCCTAGAAGAGTGTTTCAAACGGAATAGAAGCAAATCGCCAGCCCCTGCCAACAGCTAGTAAGGAGAAAGAGAAAGGAGGCAATATGTCTACAAGGGAAGCAAGAGGGGGCTGGCAGGTATTTTGTTAGCACAAACAACCTGAACTGGGTCAATGTGGTCTCGTTACTTTAAACAAATGATCGTTCTTTCATTCCACCAGTCATGGAACAAGGCAGATCATTTCTCTACAGCACACTGTATGCTTTGAGAATAAACTCAGGAAACAAGGAATGGAGCCTGATGGAAATTTAGCAAAACGATTTTGTAGTATCTGTCTTGCTACCACTGAACCAAACACAATTTTCACATACATCTACAGAGCAATGGAAGAAGCCCTAATTTTGCCTCTTATGTTTTAAATGTATACATTGGGCTTATGAATTTCCAATCCTTGCTCACATTGTTAGGTAAAAATCTAAATGGCCAAAGAATAAAGTTGCACTGCATCGATTCGGCAAAGAAAACAAATTTTTAAGGCAAATAGCATTTTGTTTTCACTGACTCAAGATCCCCATCTAGTGGCTCTACAAGACGTGACATACTCCATTTAGGAGAATATCCTGTTTTTCTCTCTGTTTCCCTGAAAATAAGACCTAACCTGAAAATAAGTATAATTTTTCAGGATGCTCGTAATATAAGCCCTACCCCAAAAATAAGCCTTAGTTAAGTGAAAGCCCACCTTCCACCATTGTGCAGCAACCGGAAGAAGATGACATGACTGTATTTGAATAAACATAGATTGTTGTACATGAAAAAAAATAAAACATCCCCTGAAAAATAAGCACTAATGTGTTTTTGGAGCAAAAATTAATATAAGGCCCTTTCTTATTTTCGGGCAAACACAGTATTTGCCTTTGTTTCTGTGCTCTTATTTTCGGGGAAACACAGTATTTGCCTTTGTTTCTGTGTATGAGATATTCCCCCAGTAGTGAGATCAATTCTGGGTTGGGTGCCTAATGACAAAACAAAACTGTTAATGAAGTACAGCCTCAGGATTACTTCTCCCTCCACAAGCACATAGTTTGTCAAATTACAGCATTATAATACACTTTGACGTACAGACCCTGATGTTGTGAAAGTGTGAAGGAAAGAGGAGAAGGGGATGATAGAGGATGGGATGGTTGGACAGTGTCATTGAAGCTACCAACATGAATTTGACCCAACTCTGGGAGGCAGTGGAAGACAGGAGGGCCTGGCGTGCTCTGGTCCATGGGGTCACGAAGTGTCGGACATGATTAAATGACTAAACAACAACAAAGTACACCTTCACAATGGAAACATAAGGGCCACTAAGAGTGCAATCCTAGTGGGACATGATGGCAAAAGCCTGCTTATACGACATGGAACCAGATGAAGCTGCTGATTTTCAAGGAACTAAAGTCATCCCCTGCCTCCAACAAACATGAGCCTGAAACAGTTCATTAGTCCTGTAATGTGAACTACCTATTCCCCTACTATATTTATTTAAAATAAATAAGAAATATATGAATCCATGGGAATCAAGCCCACGTCAGACTTCCAAAACTGAGTCATTTCCTTTAAATTACCTATCTTTCTATATTTTCCTATTGGGGAAAAATATTCCATTTTCCTCTTCCTCATAGTCTTCCTAAAGTACTCCTTCAGTGCATCCTGGTCCTGAATAAGAATGGCCTGGCTCTCTAGTAACATCTAAACAGAGCTTTGAAAAGTTATTTTCTTGAATAACAGCTCGAAGTAACCCCCAGCCACCATGGCCATGCTGAGGATTCTAAAAGCTGCAGTCAAAAAAGACAGAGTACAACTTTTCCTGGCTTTGGAAGTAGGGTGGCAAATACTTCAATAAGGATGTTATTCTAAAAGATGGATGGCTTACTGTTATTCTTATGGTCAGCCTCACGCCAGCAGCATAATATTCATGCATAATTTGCCACAAGTAGAGAAATCAGAACAGGCATTTCCTACTGCACACCAATTTATGTGGCTTGACACGTGACAGGAAATGCCTGCTCTGACCTCTTCACTTGCAAGAATGGTCCACTGAAAATTACAGCATTGGCATTACATTGGCAGAAATATTATAGACATATATACAGTGGTGCCCTGCATGACGATGATAATCCATTCCAGGAAAATCACTGTTAAGCGAAATCATTGTCATGTGGGGAAAAAATCCCCATTGGAATGCATTGAAACTGGTTTAATGAGTTTCAATGGGGAAATTACTTCATCATCCAGCGAAGATCCTCCATAGGGGAAGCCATTTTCCGAGCGCCATTTTCCAAGTGCATTTTTAATCAGTTGTTAAAATGGCTGCCCTGCAAAGCATGGGTCTGGAAAACGCAGGGCAGCCATTTTAGAAACCTGACGATCAGCTGGGAAGATCGTCGTCTTGTGAACAAACGGTTCGCGAAGCAAGGACCTAATCAACATTGTGCGAAAATTCCCCATTGGAAACATCGTTCTGTGATCACTATAGCGATTGCAAAAAAGTCACTGTCCTGCAGATTCATCGTACAGTGGGGTCGTCGTCATGCAGGGCACCACTGTATTGTACACTGTGAAGATATACTGTGTTTAGTCAGATTCTGGCCAATGGGAGCTTGATCTAGAAACCCTTGTCACAGATACCAGTTCCTTTAAATAAACATACACAAACAATTGATGGTTTGAGTGTTGGAATACTCCTAGACAGACCTCAGAATTAACACATGTCAATTAGTGATATCACTTGCGGCATATTAACTTTGGGGAGCAACAGTGTTGCGTAAAAGTATCATTGCAGCTACTAATATCATACTAAAGCTGTAACATTTAGAATGAAGTCACATCTATTTGGATCGAGAAGCAAGCCTCTAGGGCTTACTCCCCAGTGTAAGTATACACAGGATTGAGCCTTACAATGCTGCCTACTCACAGGCAACCCCCACTGAATTCAGGGGAGTTGGGAGTATATTCCAGTGAATTTAATGGGATTTACCTTTGAATGAAGAGGCTTAAGATTATATACCTTTTAAAAAAAATAATCATATGCATAAACTGTAAACACAAATCTAAAAGGAATAACATACTGAAGATTCCTCAAATACATCCTCCGTTGCAGAGAGAATCTTCACAGCATGGATCTGCAACATGTTCATGTACCCTCATAACTACAACGGGGGGGGGGACTGTCCATACTCTTTTCCACTTTGCTCTATGCATTTCATCTGTGCTGCAGCCCCCCTGACTTTTAAGTCCCCGTTAAACTTAATGGGTCTGTTTTGAGGACTGTGGCTTGAGTATTGCCCCCAAGTTACTAAAACCCAGGTCTCATCGTTCCTAGACCAAGAACTATCTTCCCATTAGTTCAGTGGGCATACATTTTGTAGAACTATGCGGAGCTGTTTGATAAGATAGCAGGAAGAGAAGCTATTTTCTGATTTACAGATAGAATATCTCCCTTCACAGTTTTCATGGCAGTTTTAAAAGTTCTAAACACATTTGGTTTCCCATTTGCACTTACTCTGATGGCAGGGAACAGATAAAAACATGTCAAATATTATCACACTAGCAAAGGTTCTTCATTATTTGAGATATAGACCTGGGCCCATTTTTATCAGATCCCAATTCTTCAGGTAAACCATGAGTCACAAAGTGAAGCATTATGCCATAATGGCTACATTAACAGAGGACCTCGAGATAAAATTCCGGTCATTTTGACTGTGCACCTACTAGCATTATTAGGTAGCTTTCATCTTAGGAGGTGATTTGTTGGCAAAGATTAAGCCTTCAGTTGGGTAAATTGTCTGGACTTATAAATAAATCAGTTTTTGACTACCCTGGTTTACCTCTTCTTCCATCTAACTTGGAAGCAAAAGTTTTATCATGAACCATACCTGCTCAGAAGGCTTGAAGTATGCTTCACGTAAACGTCAACAAGCCTGTTTGCTATGCTCACTAGAGATCTCTTAGTGCAAATTGTTTCAAAATTACATTTTAACATGATGTGATGCATATTGGATGTTTTATGAAAATTATGCATTTATAAATTATTTAAATGCCTTAAGAAAACTTGATTCAGGGCTCATTCAGAATGGTATTTGTCTTGCTGTGTGGCATGGGGGCAGATTGGTTCATTCGTTTTCTGGCAACCACACAACATAATTTTTCCATAAGCCACAAACTAGAGTGGATCACTTTGCCCCCAGTTCAACCTGCACTATTTTGAGCCCCGCTTCTACTTTTTTTGTGCGGGTTTGTCCATTCCCAGCCTGTGTACTCACTGGGAGTGGACTAAAATTGAACCATGCAGCTGTGTCAATTTCTTCAGCAATTTTCAGCAAAAATCCTTAAAAGGCTTAATAAG